TTTATGCGATTTTCGGTATATTTTAACTCATTAATTTAGTTTTATGCGGTTTTAAAAAATTATGGAACGTATCCCTTATTTTTATACGTCTGTCTAGTCCTTTTTGGTGCGATTTATTTTTATGCGTGGAACGTATCTACCGCATAAAAAGAGAACCAAGTGTATATTGTACAAAAAACCATGGAAAATTGTTTATTAATTGTTATTATTGCATTTATTAAATAATTAAATATTATTTCAAGTAGGTGTAGCTTCAATCAAATAAAACTTTAATAAAGGTGGAAAGACAACAGTTTAATATTTTTCTACGCTCTATTTTTTAATTGTTTATGTGTTTCAAATGTTTTTAAGTATTTGTTTGCTATTTCCGCACATTGTCATAAAATGAACTTCAAGCGGCTCTAAAGCCTGCCTCTTTACTTCAAGAAAAAACTAAAATTCAAGAAATTAATTTATCCGAGTAGTTCAATCAATATGAGGAAAATCTATTGAATTTTTTTTATTTTTTCAGTGGAACATTTATAAAATCATTTTAGCATAAAAACAGAGAAAATTAAGACGAAATTTAAGAAAAAAATGTTAACAACTAAATATTTAAAAAGGTGCTTAAAGAATATTGTAACGTTTTATTAAGAAGAATGAATTGTTAAAAGAAAGTTACTTTACATTCGTGGTATTTTAAAATGTGATTTCACTTTGTATGTAAATTGACTGTTTAATTATTAAAACTTTTCTGTGTTGGAAAAATGCTTTTCATATTCTTTACAAAAGAACTGCGGATAAGAGATTTTGGATATAGTGATTTCGTTAATCGATATATGACTGTAGCTTTATGTAATTTTAGCCAATTTATACAGTAATCCTTCTAATAAAAGAATAAATAAAAAATATTTTTAGTGTAATTTTAAATATAGTTAGTTCTGTAATTTAGAATGTGAGTCGAAATGGTCGTAAGTTGAATTTTAAACAACAAAAATTATATAAAGGAAGAAAATTGAAAATTGAAAATAAAAAGTAATTGTATGCCAATTGTTATAAGTTCGTTCATCAGTTAAAAAGATATTTTAGTATTAATTTAAAGATTAATTAAAATTCACAGTTTAATATAGTGGTAATAATATTAACGGGGGTTTTGTAATCGGATCCAAGTCGAAATGGTCGTAAGTCGAATTTCAAACAAACTAAATATACTTTTATGTACAGTGGTGTTTTTACATCAAAAGAAAAGATTATTTTTCAATAGTGATTTAGTGATGTAGTGGTGACCATATAAATATTATTAGTGGCAATTCTTTTAGACAATTTAAATTTCAGTTAAAGCAATTGAATTTTTAATGAATAATACTAACTATGAATATGAAATTAGTAATAATGGAATGTTTGAGTTTAGTTTAAAAAATAAAAGTTAAATAAGTTAGGGTGTTATAAAAAGTTATTTTAAGGAAACTTAAATAAACTGACGAAACAGCATTTGGGTCTGTACCAAAAACACCTGCAGCTCGATACGTCGTTCAACTACCAATACCTTTTTTTATTTATGTTGTAACGTGCACGGAACATTGAACTTTCAACATCTGACGCCGTGGATGCGCCGGGTACATCTGATATTACGTCTTATCAGAAGAAACACGGCTCTTTACAAACCTAATAAAGTATATTTATATTACATTTTCAGAAGAGACACTTTGAATTATGCGGGAAACAGCGACGTCGCGTCGTTCGCATAAATATAATATTTGATACATATTGCTCGTACGTGTTTTCCAAACGAGAAACGTGAAATATCATTTGTTCAAAGCAAACCCGGAGCCGCAGATAGCAGTGGAACAATGAAGACCCATTAGATCGAGGGCTTCAAATTACGTACACAATTTAATTTGCTATACAATGGGAAGGGCGGTGGGCGTACAAAACAGGGCTGCAAACGTTACGTTCCACCGAATTTAACGCCACCGCCCTTCGCGACAATTAACTGCTTCAATTGTCTAGTACTTAATTTTGTTTTTTTTTTCTTTGAGATTGCCTATCTCTGTTGAAGAAAAGTCCTTGTGATCTTGATTATAACCGTTCACAAATAAAACAGATAAGAGACAAGTAGATTTTACAAAAGGCCACTTCGTGATGACGCAAAGGGCATACGTATTCTGTGAAAAATGATGAAATAACCGCGCACATTTAAATTTGATACATTCCAGGCGAAAGAGGGAAAGCGAATTTCGGTATTTAAATTTCATAAATCCAATCCCGAGACCGGGGAGCGCTGAAAATCGTTACATAAACAAGATTTATTAACTCAGTTTGGAAGCGAAGGCGAAGCGCGTTTTTCATACACTTTTTTACAACTTCGTGTATTCATAGTTCCTTTAGAATGCAGATTTTAATTTTGTGTACCTTTAACTATTAACTTGAGAAATTTCTAAATCCATTTCAATACATATGTAAAATAGTTTTAAATAAATTAAAAGTTATTCTCTTATTACTTGTTCATAAATATTTTTAATATTCATATATTGATAGTCTACTAAGTATATTTTCAGGTAAAATCTTAATTTTAGGTTTTCAGTATATTAAGCAATAATTCTCAAAAGTTAAGTTTTTCTAAAAGCTATATGGAACTAGAATACAGTCACTTCTTGACTTACGATGTGCTTCCATTCAGCAACTTTATAAGTCGAAATGTGTGTAAAAAATTGAAAAAATCTTTAAAATATAGTGTAAGTATAAAGTATTAAGTAATGTTACTTTATACTTTTTTTGCATCTTAAATGTAAGTCGAGGTGGTTAAATCAAAATGAGACTATATGAATCATTACAAGGGTATACAAAAAATATTTAAAGAATCAGCATAAAATATAAAAATGAGAGCAAGAAGATTTTAGTTGTTTGAAAAATGAATTATTACTTTGATAGATTTTTGGTCGAAATTATCAATAAATTAATTCATACAATTAGTAAATGTGTACATTTACCATATCATTGCTTTCATTTATATACATATATTTGTATATATATATATTGGTTTACTTACGTTCCGTAAAGTTCTGAAAAGTTGCGTTCTTTGTTGCCCTGAGGTCTCCAGCAGCTGGTGGTCAGCCTACGCAGGACGAGGTTGTCCATTAGCCAGTGGGGTCCTCGGGCAAGGGCCACCTTCAAAGCGGAAATTAGGAGGCGGACGGCGCCTTTAACCAGGTGCCTGTCGATTTTAATAGGCACAGGCCGCAGACTGAGCAGCCCAAGCGGCAGTTCCGGCCGCCCCCGCGACCGCTTCCTGGTCCGCACTACCGCATCCACCGTGCCGCCGCCACCGCTTCCGGCCTGCCTCTTCTGCGGTTCCCGATTGAATAGGAGGAACTGGTCATTCTTCAATAAATAATTCACATGCATGTCTCCCAGCTCTTCCAAAGGGTCCACGCGCCGCTTTCCCCTGTTTCCATCCCTACTGGCGCCGCCACCGCCGCCCCCCGGCTCGCCGTCGCCGCGACGTCTGCTGCCCCCGTTGTTCTCGCTCGAATTCCCATATCCCGACGATGACCGGGTGTCGATCCAAATCCACACAAAGTGCCCATCCAGCATGTTCAAGCGTCGCGCGTCCTCCAAAATCCTCACGGCCACCTCCCGGTTTGTCAACAACACCACCACCCCGCGGGTTGACCTCGATATGTCCGCCAGCTTCCTGCAAAAAAAAATATTGGTGAGGAACAGAAGGATAGCAAAAAAGCGGAGACAAACACGCACCCCAATATAAAGCAATCCCCGAAAACTGCTACACATTTAATTGGAAAACATTCCCCAACTCCATCGCAAAACTCTTTATCACAACATTGTTACACAAGATTAAAAATATTTTGTTCCATGGGTTTATTGATTACATTGAATAATAATTAGTTGACAACATTTTCAGAATTGAAACTGAAAACACATTATTTAACGAAATGCCAACAAACTCTATATCTATGTAATGGCTTTAGAGAAATTATATTTATATATGATGTCATATATGAAATAACACATGTGTGGTTATTATATAAAATATACGCGTTTGAAAGTTTTACAATAATCGCTTAACTATAAGATTTCTTTATCTAGTAAAGGTACTTGCAAAAAAAATATTTCGACCTACCCTTGTACTTTGATAAGTTCATTAATCGTTTATATAAAGAAAATCTTGAAAAACTAGACTTGCAATCAATTACATCAGCAATGTGTAAATCTTCGGTGTGTAATATCTTTCAAGAATAATGATCATTGCTGTCGTCGACTCTGGCCGAGTTTCAAGTTCGGATGATAAATTAAAAAAGTTTAAACAAAAATATTACGTCGAAAAGTTCGCCCATAAATATAAACGCCAGACTGCCGCAATGCAACTAAAACACTAATAACAATAATAATAAAGTGTTACCCTGTCGCGAATTATTTTTATTAGCATAATACAATTAACATTATTTATGACGAACATTCTACATGCATTTAACAGCTCGCAGAATGCATAAATTAAACAAGCAAAAGTTGAATATCTTACAGAACAAAAAAAAAGAAACGTTTTAAGTTTAGTGTGCGGATTCCGACTTGAATTACACTCGACCATCTTTCATTGATAAGAATAAACTCAAAGCGAAACGAGGCCGAAAAAAAAACAAGAAAAAAATCTTAGTGGAATGAACCTTTCGCTCCAGTTACCACTGTTCTCTTTCATTTGTTTCTGTTTGTTGTTTTTCTTCTGGTTTCAGATTCTTGCAAAAAGTTTGTTCGTTTCATAAAAATTTCAGGCCCGACACGAGCTGAAAATGGAATCGATGCTTCGTCCCAATTTCAGCAGAGCCCCAGACGAATGATCCGCCACCGACAAATGGAAGTAAGGAAAGGACAGAAAAACAGTCATAACTCATTGCATGCCGCGACCAAATAAATTGAGGATCGCCTGCAGTGGAAGCGAAACGTGGGAAATATTTATTCGATTTAGGATCACTCCGTAAAGCTCTTAGACTACTGCATGTGTAGCAGAGAACAAGCTGAAAAAATAGGAATAACGGGGAGAAAGGAGAGTGGATAATATCGTTTGGGGGTGTTCGCTTGGATGGCGGTGGCGGCGGGGGGTGTTCGAAATTTTATGGACTGCATGACCTTCTTGCCTTCGTCGCCATAGAAACATGCAGAAAACAACGTGTAATGGGATGACAGGACATTTATTATCCAGACAAGGGGAAGAAAGTAGGTTGGTTGGGTGAATTCTGATATATTTTCGGGAATGTGTATTCTGGTATCGGGCAGTTTGTAAAGAATCGTCTTGGGATTTGCGACATAAGTAAAGTAAGGAATGTGTTCTCACCTGAAGATCTGTTGAGCAGCTGGGGGATTCGGTAGAGGTATCAGAGTTGGGTGCAGTGGGGCTACGGCCAAAGGGCCCCAAAGGTCAGGTCTCTGAAGGGCCGAAGAAGACGTGCTGTCTGCTAGGATGGTGAAAGTATGCCAATGGGCTTGTAGAAGGATTCCTCTTAAGGCTTGAACAACCTCACGACCAGTAGGTGCCAGATGCATCTCCAGGACGTGAGAATCCTGCAAAGAAAATATGCTTTTAATTCAACACAATTTTACTACTAATACAAAATACACATAAAATTTGTAAAACATAAAATCATATGATAATCTTTACATAATAACAGATAAAATAATGTAAATTCAAATGTTCTGTACTATGATTGAAGATAGGTTCATACTAAAACAGAGTGTATAACAGAAATAGTACATAAGTGGTTTACGTCCGTGCTCTGTTATTCTAGCACTAAAATCGTAATTGGCCTGATTGTTTTTGGAGGCCAAAAGCGATCGCTGCAAACTGGATTGCCTGCCATTTGCATATGCATGCGATCATATTTATAGTGCGCGTTTATCCTTACGGTACCGAGCTTTTTGAGGTTCGTTTGAGGTATTTGGGTCAACTAAAAGGCATGTTTGTTAAATTCTCTTATAAGGCTCATCCAGTGTGATAAATGAGGGATTGCGGAGAGGAGACAATTAATCCTGGAATAGAGGACGCGCAAGGATTGCGAGCCGCGGAATGCCACAGACGACAATTTCACTCCAAATTGATGTTATTTAATAAACCCGCGGCGCAGGAAGTGACCTTTTTAACGGTAGCGCTATAAACCCTTGCTCGCCCTCGCATTTTTCATCGGCGAAAGCATAATACGCTACAAAATGTGTTTATTTAGAAAAAAAACAGGAAATCCTCGCAATAAAGTGCTGCTATGCAGGATTTACCATGTTTATGTATTCATTAACTTTGTAATGTTTATTCACATAGAGAGTAATATAGTGGAAAGTGAGTATCTTTTCTCACTACAGCAGTGCTTCCCAAACGCTAAACTAAGTATGTTACATTCAATAAGAAATTACATATACTAAAAATAACATTCATAGTGCGGATAATTGGTTCCACCAATATACCGGACTATTTGAAACTAATTAACAGGTGTACTGCATTAAGTTATTTAACTAATAACTTTTAGTTTTGTACTGCAGACAACGATGGCAGCAGACCTAAAATGACTTTTGTGATGAATGATTTTATGAGAAAAATAAGCATTTTTACATATTATGAATTAATATTACCCTCTAGCATTGTATTAAGAATAGGTGCGGGTGCATCTTTATATGAAAGTTAATTTAGAAACAAACAAACATTATTATATTTTTATAATTATGCTAGTCACTGATAAAGTTTTTAATTATTCTAATAAATTGACATATTTTGTAAGCAGTTTAAGAAATAAAATTGTTAAATTAGTTATTGTATGATCATCAAAAATTAAAATATTCTTGAAAAGTTACATTTTTCCTTAAATATTTGTAATAATTTTTTTTGAAAAAGTTGCCGATCTATAATGCAAATGTATTTAAAATATTAAGTGCATTATAAACAAGTAAATATTATAGGCAACTTTACTTGCAAATCTTATTTAACACGTTGACGACGGCATGACCCACCGGTGGGTCATAAATTATATATAATAGTTTTGTCGCTATACACGCCACTGATTTTGACTGAGTATAGCCTTAAATATCTTAATAATTTTTGAAGCAATTTAGAATAATACGTGATATTGTGACATAATTTATGAATATTTTACAAAAAAAAATGCGAGACACATTTGCGAGACAATAGTTATAAACTGTTTATAAATTATTCAATAACACAGGTAATCGGACGTATTAATATAGTAATAAAAGCTAAATGGTAGACGTCTCCTAGTCTCGGTATGCGGTATGCTTTGGGAATGCACATAAACAAACAGCAAAGAGTTGTTTACTAGGAATTCCATAGAAAGTGAAAGTAGGTTGGGGTGCATTCCGCAGTAGATCACGCAAGCAATTTCATTTGCTTATAACTCAGAAATGCTAAGATTCATACATTTCTGCAAATGTATGAAAGAAAAACGTTTCCAATGAAAAAAATAACATACTAAACAAAGTGTAGGTTTTTATTTAAAAAAATAAAACAATACCAATACAAAATTTTATAAGGTTTTTTATATATTAATATATAGTATTATCTTTTGATAACTTTGTAGAATGCTTATCGAAATACAAACTTCTAAAATATTTAATACGTTACAGTGGTAGTTCGTTAATGAACCGTTTGCACTACAAGCAAACATTTTTTGCGAAAGTATTGTATGTTGGGACAAAACACATATTTGGTAAACGAACATCTTATCTTCTGACGATTGACAAGGAGTTAACGGTTATGCTGAAATAAATATTAAGCCGTTAAGTCACATCAATTACTAACAACTTTTAGTAACACTTTTGATAATTTTTCATAAAAAATATCGATAAAATAATATTGAAATATAAATTAACTGGTTATTATTCAGGATTTAGACTTCCAAACGAATATATTATACAACCTCTCTCCTCAGACAGGCGCCAAGGGATTCACATTTCCATTACGTTATATATATTTTTTTTCTCTTCGTTCCTCCTTAAGTGGTAAAACTTTGTGAATTATTAATGACTTCCAGAGTGGGCCTATCTTGTCGAAAGTGTAAAAAAGTTCACCACCGCTCATTTTGTATTTTTACGACTTTGACGAGAACGGCGTTTCCGCGCTTCCTAAAGGATCACACAGAACGTCCTCGTAAAGCGAAATCTAAGTATTTAAAGGATTTCCGATATTTAAGTTGCACACCTATAGTTTGTGGAATACTTAAATTTTATGTTACGTCGACACTATGCGTGAGTCATAAATTTATGTCAGGATATGTTAACTAATATTGGTTATATTTTAATAATTATTGCTTTATTTCTGATATTAAATTGTACTGCTTAACTAGCTTCACTGTATTTTTTCGACCAAACCAATTTTATATTGAATTATTGATGATATTTAATGTGTCATTTAGTTATGACTCGATTAACGTTACCTCTAATAACGAAGCATCGATATAACGAAGTCCGCAATTTCAATACTGCTTTAACTGCAAAAATATTCTAATTTAACTCTTTGAGGGGGCGACTAATAGCCGAATGGTTAAGTCGCCCTACCCACAATTTCGTGTGCGCCGGTTCGAATCCTAGTCAATCGAGGCCCTCTGCGAGCCCTCTGCAGCCCTGTTGCAGCAATAGAGCCATCGTTCATCACAGATGGACAGTCAAATGAATGAGGTTCAGCATATGGACCTTCAGCCAAGTCGATGGACAATGACTGTATTAAGGATAGCAGCAGATTCATAGTGAAAGGAAATAGTGGGATCGCAGAGCATCAATATACTACTGAAGTTAACCTACAAGACGACAAGCAACCAATAAACTAAAAAATCAAATCATCATAATGGTAACTATCCACCGGGAAAGATTATCCATTTAATGTCAACCGAGATCTTAAATTACTCAATGTTCACATTGATGAACAGATTATGAATAAAATTATACTACATAAAAAACTCTTTGAGGGACAGTTGTACACGTAATGGTTGATATCTCAAGGGAAGAATTTTGAGTTCAAACCATGAGAGTTAAGGACAACATCCTACAAATTAGAAGTTGTACTAGAAGAATTTGATGTTATTTTCAAATTAGAAATAAAGATATCCAGATGGCTCAATAAAGAAGATTCAAAGATTTAGACGAAGAAAATATTAGAAATTTATTTAATATAGATGATGATGGTTATTTAATGGAATATTTTGAAAAAAAAATAACAACGAAGACAACATCTTATTCGTTAATGGAAGTATGACTATTCTATAATGGATTTTTCGTTTATCCTCCATATGCTGATATTTAAGTGTGTTATTAAGTGGATGCAGGATTAGCGATCGTTGCACCGTGAAGAGGGTTTCCTAAATAATCACGTAACTTCGGGAATTATAGTTTATCGATTACGATGTTAATCCGCATGTGGAAGCAATTAAGAAAACGGAAATTCCGGTGCGTTTAACATTATGCGCGGGAAACTATTTAACCATCCTTCCCCTCGTTCGACTTTCCTGCACCGTCGGTTATCTATTAAACCCTGCGCCCTTGGAAAACTTCCCAGCTAGCAATCACTTCCGCCTAGTAGTCCTAGTATTGGTATAACAACTTTCTTTAATTAATCGATCTGTTTGTGCGGGAATCCAGAACACAAATACACATATTCCCATTCTTAATTTTCGTTGTTTTTCATCCATCGTGAATCTGGGTTAGACAAATACTTAATTTCTCTCTCTCATACATACTATATATATAATCACTTCTTATAGCCAGGATCTTAATTGGAGCAACGCCGAAGTGCACTTGGACTTTGCAACTTTACTACTTCTTGTTGCTATTTTACCTCGGAAGCCGATACCGGCGACGGGAAGCAATTCCTCATTAGGTTATAATAGCGGGAAATTCGAAAAATGTCCGATGTGTATATGATATACACATATTTCCTGAGTTTGTGATTTATGAAAGTATTTCCGGTGGAAATTTGTATCTGCCATAGCGAGGCGCCGCATCGCCGAGGGCTCTAATGCACACGGATTTTGCGATTACGTCAGGCCCTCAGCGAAACGAATTTGGGACGACGAGGACCCTTTTTGTGGGTGTGATCATCCCTTTTTCCCGGGCACTTCAATCACCGGAATTATTGCAACGACCGTCATTGGAAATTTAATCAAACGCCGAATAGATTATGGAAAGAATTATCCGTTTCACGCAAATATTATTATGATGGGGAAATGCATAAGCTCTAATTAAATAATTAGCATAATATAATTAAATATACGCATCAGTTTTCCTGCAATTTATTCCCTTCCGGCTCTGAACATTTGTCAATGGGATTTAGCAACGTTTTGCGTGCAAATCCGTCACTGTTGCGGAGCCAGCAAACACGAACCGGGCTTCCCGAAAGTTACACATCTGCTCCAAACGAAACAATCCATCATGTACAATTTTTGGAGAACAATACTGAATACTGAATAAATACCATCATATTTGCTTGTATATTAATTAAACAAATAATCAAAACATTCAGGCGTTATTAAATTTGTATTCTGAACCTATGATAAATTAAATACATTCTACAC